GGGCTGGCAGTGTGTGTTGTCCCTTCTTCTTTCCCTTGGGGGGTGAGGACTCTTTCGTGTTAATCTGCGTAACTGGCACGTTTTCCCTGTGGGGACTCTCCTAACATCCATCCTGCCGAACTCTGGCCTCTTTCATTGCTGTCCTGAAGTCACAGTCCCAGCCTCACTTGGGGACACTCCCCCCACGGTGGTGGTGGGTTCTTGCTGCTGAGGAATTTACTTGCCCTTCACTTGGCAGCAAATGAAAGTGGGTATTAATTTCTCAGAGAGAGGGGCTGCGAGAATGAAGGCCACCAAATCTGCGTGTGGAGCACAGCAGGCTGCCGGTTCCCAGGACGGGGCTGAGACAATGGGGCGGGAGAGCGGGCCGAGCTGACTTCCCTGCACTCGTCTGTTGGGCTTGGAGAGCGATGCCAGGGCGCCTCTGGGCCGGCTTACATTATGCAGCTGTGGGGACCGTCCCCCAGGTCGGGGCTGCCTTTAGAGTCCCCACAAAGCTATTGAAGTGCTTATTTTCCTCCTGAAGAGACACAAACAGATGCAAACTTCTGTAAACACTTTAGACATGAATTCAGTGAGTTTGGCCTCTCAGCAGTGCTCAATAGCTGACAGAAAAATGTCTAATTAGTGCAAGTGGGAATAATAGGGCCACTCGGACCCCTTCCATCGTCCTCAGGCCTGCTTTCCAAGGAGCTCAAAGGGCCTTTGTCTGGCGGGTCACCCTCTCTCAGGCCTTTGTGCTCCAATCTATTAAGAATGGAAGGGGGAAAAATAGATGAGACAACGTTCTCCGCTCGCATGTACGGCGCGTTCGCGGGACATGGATGGGGTGTTTGCAGCAGCCGTCCCCGGGCGGGGGGGGGGCGGGGCGCCCGCGGAGACCGCCAGGAGCAGCGCTGGGCAGAGGGCTCCCGCTGGAGCTTCGCATCCCCTCTAAGCGCTTCCCTTTTCTTCTCATTTCCAGGAACCTCGTTTCTCAGAGTTGGTAGGGGGAAGGAAGCTGTTTTTGAAAATTGGAAAGTTCGCCATTTTCCGAGCTGAGCCTTATAGATGTTCTATGCGTGGTCTATTATTTCCTTGCTCTACTGCGGATCCACCGCCAGTAACGCAGGCGCCTGTCTCTGCTTGTTCCTTTGTTGCACAAGAGCGTGAAAATGTGTGAATTGACTCTTTTCCCCATTTCCCCCGTGATGTTCCCTGTCACTTATTACGCACCCACAATGCACCAGGCCCCGTGCTGAGCGTTTGGTCTGCACTTCCTCTAGGCCACCGGCAGACAGGTGTGGTCACATTTCACGGCTGAGGTCACTCAGACTCCTCGTCCTTGAAGAAGGAAATGGTGGCTCTAGGACCCAAACTCAGATACCTCTGGTTTCAGCTCACACATGGTATATTTTATTTCTAGAAGTTTGATTGGGATCATTTTTTATATATCCCATGTCCCTACTTCCACTTAATTTTTACTCTACCTTCTTATAAAACACAGTTTGGGGTCCCTTTCCATTGATTTCTTTTCCTCTGCAATATGGGCTTCTTTCATGCCTGGTAATTTTTCACTGGATGCCAGACATTATAAATCTCATCTTGCAGGATCGTGGGTAATTTGTGTGCCTATGGATATTCTAGAGCTTTGTTCTAGGGCCCAGTCAAGTTAGGAAATAGTTAGGTCCTTTCCAAGTTTGCATTTAAATGTGCAGTCTGCCCAGAGCCAGTTGCCCTGTGCTTACTTTGGTGTCACTGCTGGAGGGACACCCTCTAAAACTCTGCCCCACCCCCCCGGGGACGAGACTTCCTTCCCCTGCTGCTGGAGACACAGCTGCGTGAAGCCAGGAGATGGTTTCCACTGCTCCTGGCAGGTGGTCCGTCCCTGGCCTTGGTCAATGTCCTGTCTGCACAAGCTGATGAGAAATCGCTGGGGATTCAAAGGGACCCTCTGCAGAGCTCTGGACTTGCTGCCTTGTGCTGCTCCCCTGACCCCCAGAAGTGCCACCTCATCCACTCAGGATGACCACCTCAGAGGTTCCAGTGGGCTTGTCAGGTGTCCTTGCAGCTCTGAGGGAGGGGTGCCCAGGTAGAGTAACCCCCGGCGATCGCCAAGTCATCATTTGCCCTCATGGCACCAGCTCTCACTAAAGAATTTCAAGACACCGAAATTAAAGACCATCTTCTGAATAGTTTTCCTTTCTTTCTCTTATTTTAAAATACATAACAAGAATACTCTTTTCAATTGAGATTTTTTGGGGATTTTTTTGTCTTTTTTTTTTTCCCTTAGAATTTTCTCATCAGAATAGGGGCTGTGGGTCGCTCAGAGCCCCTGTGTGGACTCAGCGAGCCGCAAGTTCAGCCCGAGCCCCAAAGAGCTTCCTGTGTCCAGATGAAGCACTGCTCCACACCTCCTCGATCAGACCATGGGGGAGAGCAGACGAAAACTGACCCTCAAGAGACTCGAGTTCCTCACGTGTTGAGTAAGGACATGGAGAAGCTGGAACTATGTGCCTTGAGGGTGGGAGTGTAAAATGGTGCAACTTCTATGGAAAACAGTATGGAGGGTCCTCAAAAAATTAAAACCAGAGCTACCTGATGACCCAGCCATCCCACTGCTGGGTGTCTATCCAAAAGAACTGAAGGCAAAGTCTCCAAGATAGATTTCCACACCTGTATTCACAGCAGCAGCATTTAAAAGAGCCAAGACATGGAGGCAACCAAAATTCCATCCACAGATGACAGGTAAACAAAACATGGTCCATACACACAATGGAATATTATTCAGTCTAAAAACACGCAAATCATGACACCTGCTACAACATGGATGGACCTTGGGGACATTGTGCAAAATTAAATAAACCAGTCACGAAAAGACAAAAACTGTATGATTCCACATACATGAGGTCCTTGAATAGTCAAATTCATACAGACAGAAAGCGAAATGGTGGTCGCCAGGGCCTGGGGAGGCAGTGGGGGAGCTGCTGTGTAATGGGCTCAGAATTTCGTATCGGCAGGATGAAGCCGCTCTGGACACGTGGCTCACAACAAGGTGCATGTGCCTAACACCACTGAACTGTACACTTAAAAGTAAGTTTCATGTTCTGCGTTTTTGTCACAATGAAAAGAAGAAGAAAAAAAGATAGAGGCCTGAGCTCCTCCCTGGCCCTTTGACTTTGTAGCTTTGGAAAGTCACGTAACCTCGCAGCCTCAGCTCCCTTACCTGGCTTAGCTCTTTCAGTTACTATCACATTAAATGAGATAACGTGTGCAAACATTTTTCATAAACTAGGTGTTGCTAGGGCCGGCCGAGTGGCTCAGTTGGTTAAGAGCTTGCTCAAGACTGTGAGCTCTGAGCAACAGCGGTTTGAGTCCTGGCCAGAGCTGAGCTGTTGCTGAGCTGCCATCAGGTGGCAGAATGGCTCAGCTAAAAACAAAACAAAACAAAACAAAACAAAACAAAAAAACAACAACTAGATGTTGCTACAAAGATGGAAAGCATGGCTATCAGGAAGGGAGGGGTGCAGGGCCGCCTGCAGAGAACAGCCTGCCTCTCTGGGCTGCACCCCAGGAGGTCGGCCGATGCCCCTTTGGGGAGCGGAGCAGGACTGGCAGCAAGCCTGCCCCAAGCGCAGCTGAGGTGCGCAGCCAGGGGCCTGGCAGCGGCGGAAGGCAGCTCTGCAGCCAGCAACTGAGGCCGCAAAGCGAAAGGCGCGATTCCTGTGCACTGGTGCAGAGCGGCGTATTGACAGGGCTGGGCACCCAGAAAACCGTCAGTCTTTTTGTCCATCTCTAAATTTACATTTTGTGAGTGTCAAATGAATGAACTGTTCCCATTTAAAACGTGTGCTTTTCAGATTGATGCTTTGACATGCCTCCATAGAAGCTTTGAACATTTCAGCTTTAGTCAGCTATTTTAGTTGGAAGGGACAGAGGCTCGCTGAAACGGGGCACATGTTATTATGAAGATCACAGGGGAGCAGCACTCGTAAAAAGTGGATTTGGACTCAGGCATCGTTCTTGGATCTTGGGTGTGGGTAACAGCCCATGAGCGTAGCTTAGCTACACCACACTTTCTGCTTCTTTCCATCTTGCAACAGCTGGCAAATTCTTTGTTTCTTTTAGTTTATTTTTTTCAAGTGAGGCCTGAAGTCGTGGAGCCATGTGGCCGGTGGTTACTTGTAGCTTAGCCTTGAGCTGGTGCTGGGGTGTGGGGAGGGTCAAGTGGCAAAACACACAGCTGCTTCAAAGGTGGGGACAGTGGGCAGAGCTGTAACCCTCAGAGAGGGTTATGGTGCGTCGGGCAATGGCTACTGGGGGTGGGGGGGTGTTATGCGAGGATCCGGTAAGGAACGCCTCCTGGATTGTGGGGAAAGGTGATATTTAACCGAAGGCCTTGGCGGATGAGAGATTAGACACCGCCTTGGTTCTGACACAGACTAAATTGGAAGCTGTGACTGGACTAGAGCACACAGATCCGCGACACGAACCCCAGACTATTGCTGACTTCTCCATTCAGTCACAGGAGTTCTTAGGCCGAGCACGACGCCTCAAATCGGGTGGCTTTGTGGGGTGTAGGTGAGCAGAGAAGAGTCCCTGTTCCCAAGAAGGGAGGACCGCTGAGCCGCGTGTGCCGGCTTTCTTCTGCTCAAATTTGCCACCTGGATGAACCCCACCTTCCTGAGACAGAGGTCAAGGAGCAGAGAGAGGGGTGCAGAGCAAAGGGGCGCTTTGCATATTTGTGGTGTCTGAATTTTTAATGACAGGAAATATGTATTATCACTTGTATATAACTTTAGAAGTATCCTGGGGAAAACAGAGTAAAGGAAATAGTGCATTATTCCACAGCCAAATTCCGTGGCTCAGTCACCTAATAAAGTGCCTCGTCTCCTGCTCTGGCTTTTGCTGTTGCTCTGGTTTTGATAAAAACACCTGAGGACTCGGCTTGGTCCCAAGACCGCCTGCTTCGCTGCTGGCTGCATTATTTCTGTGGGCTCACTGCCTCTGCATGTCCCCAGGTGTCCCTGAAGGCCTCCATCCTCACCCGGGACGGTGACACCGCGGCTGCCATCCTGTTCCTCAGCGACCGGCTCCTGTATGGGCTCGACCTGTCCGGCCAGCTGCTGCGGATCGCCAAGGGGCTGCACAGGCTCTGGCCAGCCACGCCGATGGCCCCACAGGTGCTCATTCGCCAGGCCCGAGTGTCAGTCAACTCAGGTAGGCGCACTCCTGCCCGTCCTGTCCCGCGTCATCGAGCGCCCTGACTGGGGTGGCCGCTGCCTTCCATCACCAGCACACAGGCCTTCTTCGGCCAGAGCCTTAGAGAAAACCGAAAGGGTGTGACAAACACGAATTGGAGCCTTTGCTTCGAATGAGTCCTCTCCTGCTGCTTTCAGACGAGGTACCTCTGTACTTCTGACCAGGAGCCTTTAAAAAGCGCATTAGAATTCTCCCACTCTCTCTTTGCTGTTCTGCTGCCCTTCTGCCACTAGACGTGCTGACACTAGAGTTGACCCACGCAGCACCGGAGTAAGGCAAGGGTTTTCCTTACGGCCCCTGACGGAGCCTTGAGGTAGCCTCCCTTTCCTTCTGTCACTGTGAAGCGAGTGAAAACAGGCGGATGTTCTCACTCGGATGTGAGGGTGAGGGGCGGGGGCCGAGGAGCCTGCTCTTATTAAAGCAAAGCCCATCTCCACAGAACCCCTGAATTGTTTAAACTACTGGTAACCATGGGGTTTGGGAACGTGGGGCCTGCAGTTCTCATTTCCATGAGTGAACGGACAGAGACGAAGCGAAGGCACCGTTGTCCTTCCCAGAAACAGGACTCGCTACTTTTTAGACTGGTTTTAGCTGTAACTCTGGTCTTTTAGAGGTTAAAATATCTTTGCTTCATTTCCTATGAAAAGGAATGGTACCAAGGGCACTAAATGGGACACTTGCTGTCTACACACAAGGACAGACAGTGGGACACGGACACGCCTGGGCTTGTCCACTTGCCAGTTCTCGCAGCTGAGCCCAAATCCAGTCCACATTTCATTATTTACTTTTCTAGAGTAACTGAGAGACCGAGTTGAACTTAGGATAGATTTCTTTCTTCAACTACCCCTGATTTGGGACATTTTGTAATGTTTGGGGTATAAGGGAACCCTACCGACCAGTGGTCCTCCTGATGGCATCCGGTGGCAATGACAAGTGGCAGAGCTCTGTGGGGACAGAAAAGGGGAGGGCCGATGGGCGCACAGAGCTGCTGTGGCCTGGACACCACGGCTGTGGGAAGCAGCATGTGACAGCACTGCCTCACACAGCCACACTGGTTTCCACTTCTCTGTCTGTTTCTCCTTCGTCTCCATGGAGACGTGGTGTCCTGGGAACCAATGAGCTTGATGGCATCATGACCATCATGTGTCTCTACTCACATCGTGCATCTGTGATAAGTCTCAGAGCTATTCCCCAGCAGGTGGGGTTGTCATTTCCTCAGAGACACTGTCACAAGTGCCACATGAGGCACACAGCCTCTGAGCTAAGTGCTTATTTGTAAAGTTACACCCCCATCATCTCTTGAGCCTCTACCACTGGACGTCTCAGGGACAGAGGCACTTAGGGGAAGTGCCCGGGAAAAAGCTGTCACCAGTCAGCATTTGGGGACCTTGGCATGGAGAAGTGACAGAGATGTGCGGTGTGACTAGGGGTGAGGAAAGGGGACAGCAAGCCTCCTGGCGTCCCCGTTGACCCTGCCCCTGGTGTCCACCCAGAATGCATTTCAAAGGCCATACATTCAACACAGTGGGGTTCAGGGCAAGAGAGGTGTCCTGGGCCTGCCCAGCTCTCTGCTGCCTGAAATTAGGAGACGAGACCTTTGAACACAGAGATAAAGGTTCAGACTTCCAGTCCCACCAACAAGTGAGCAAGTGCTAAACCTTCTCCCAACGCAGAATGCGGTGAATTAAACGCGTCAGGGCCCGAAGCATCGCACTGTCATTTAATCCCTGTGCGGGGACAGGAGAGCGCGCCGTGGGCCTACGAGGGTGAGATATTTGCACAAAGCTGGGACTCTGAAGGGGGATGGAGCAGCCCCACCAGCCTGCCCGGAGAGGAGCCCTGGGGCTCGCCCTGTGCCCAAGCCACGGACAGAGGCCACAGCAATCTCCCCAAAGACATAGTCACCCGTCTCCGTGCCACACACCCAGTCCGTGCTCCTGGAAGTCTCATTATGCTCAGTGCTTTTTTCATTCCATTCTCTGAGTTTTTAAAAGTTCTCTTTCATATTTTCATCCACTTAACTCTCTGTGCTTCATTCTAGCTTTTTCTTTAAATACAATCTCCAGTTCCAGGATTTTCCCTCCTGCTGTTACACCTGCTCAGGAACATATTCAGGTGGTTAGGGGTTTGGGACACATGAGAACTGGCCATGGGGCTTCCGGGGCACTGGCTGGAGCTGCAGAAAAACAGTGTCTTTGCACTGAAGAAATACATCCAGCCTTGAGCACATTTTTTCCTTAAAAAATCGCCTAAACACAGTGTGGTACACTAAAAAAAAATGAAACAATGAGAAAATCTTAAAGGAAACAGAGAAGACAGATTATTTATATAGGAACTATGTTTAGACTTACAAAACACATCTCGTCAGCAACAACAGAGCCCAGAAAACAAGGGAATATACAAAAAAGTTTAAGAGGAAATAGCTTTCAATCTAGAATTTGGTGCCCAGCAAAAATCATCATTCAAAAGTGAGAACAAAATAGACATTTTGAGACAAAGACTAGAAATGCTTATTACTCTTAAGACACTTCCCTCTCACACACATACACACACATACATGTCCACATGTGCACACATACACACACATATGCACACACACGCACACACACTAAAGGATGTATTTTGCTAAGGAGGAAATTGATCCGACAAAAATGGAGTGGCGAATACAAAAGGCAGTAGTGAGTAAAGAATTTAGTAAATACACAAGTTAGACTAAAAAGCACACACACAATTAGGGTGATTTTGGAAATGAAAGACAATAAGTTGATAACTGACCAGACACAACTTTCTTAACCTGATGAAAGGAAGCAACTGAAAACCTTTGGCAAAACTCATGATGAAAAAGTAGAAATATTCCTTTTAAAATCAAGTCAAGAAAAAGATGCATCTTATTACCACTTCTACTCAGTACTGACCTGGAAGTCCTCTCAATGCAATAAGAAAAGAAAAATAAGCACAAACATTAGAAATGAACAAACAAAATTATTAAATTCCACATAGAAAACTTCAAAAAATTCAGATTATTTGAATTAAGAGATTCAGCAAGGTTGGTGAATACAAGATCAACATATTTTTAAATGCCCAGTCTTATATATCAGCAAAACTAATTAGAAAACACAACTTTTAAGAACAGAAATAGCTTACATAAAACTTATTCAAATAGGTATTATATGTTATTTCTCTCTCTTTTTAGACACTGGTATGAATGAATTTTATCAGACCCTATCCCATGATTTCAGATACTGGTTTCCTTTTCTTTTCTTTTTCTTTTTTCCCATTTCTTTTCGTTTCTTTTTATCTTTTTTTTTAAGCACTGTATGTCTTCCCACAACTTGCGGTTTAGAAAGAGCAGCATGCTTGCAGGACAGGCCGGGTCCTGCTGCAACGTGCGAGCCGTGGAGCTGAGGGACCAGGTGTCACAGCGGTGCCCAGGCCTGAGCTGTGGCCTTGGCTGCTTCTTTTTAGGGAGACTCCTGAAGGCCGAGTACATCCTGAGCAGTCTGGTCAGCAGGCGCGGGGCAGCAGGTAAGGGCCCACAGCCGGCCTCCACCCTCAGCCCACCTGAGCTCCCGCCTGACACCCACAGGAGCTAACGTGGCTGTGCCAGGTGACCCCAGCACCCCTGGGACCTGCCCTGCACCCATGAAGGAGGTGGCTTGGGGTGCTCCTTTCTCTCGGGCTCCACGTCCTCTAACTAAAAACAAAACGCAGTGCAGCGACCAAGGCCTCTGACAGTCCCCTGTGTGTTACCTGATGAATGACAGTGGTCAAAGCAGGCGACAGCTCAGAAAGGACTCAGCGCAGCCTTTAAAGAACCGTGAAAGGAAACAGCCTGGGAGTGCAGAAGAATACACTTATGGTCTGATTATTTACATAGTTTAGAAAATAAATTTTGCTACTCCAGAACGTCCATAAAAACTTATTTTGAAATGGATTTCCTTTGATATTTAGTCATATATGAAAGGAAGCAAGTCCTAATAGCTGGGTACAAACTACTCAAGCCAGCTCGTCTGAGTTTCCGGACGTTTAAGTCGGCAACTTTCCTAATGAGTTGAATACAGTTTCCAGCAGACTTTTAAGGTCAATATGCGCGGATATAAGGTCCCGGGCACGCCCAGTGGGGAGCCGTGGGGCGGGCACTGCCCGCACAGCCCTCACGTGTGGCCGCCGGCACCACTGCCACACGCACGTGTGCTACACGCGGGGATCCACAGCCGGGGCGCAGCGAGGGCGACCGACCGGCGGCGTCCAGCCACCCGCCTGCCCGGCCCTTCGCCCGCGTCTGGCAGCCTGACGTCCACACAGGAGCCCACTCCTCGGGGGCCGCCCAGCCGGGGCCCTCACCCTGCCCGTGGCCTGACCACAGCCACGCACGTCCGGCTCCGGCCCGCGGGCCCGTGGGCGCCTGCCCTGCGCTCCCCAGAAAGGCTGCGCGTGCCGGGCCCCCCACGCCCTCTGGTGCGTGTGCAGCCGGCAGCGGCCACAGCCAAGCCCACCCGGGTGGATGGGACGCGTCCCCGTCCAAGGACAACCCCACGAGCCCGGGAAATTTCCCCCGGGGCCTTTGGTGCCCGCGCTGAGGCTGGGCGTGGAGGGGACAAGGGCTGCGGCCCCCAGAGGCCGTGCAGGCCCAGGGGAAGGGGCTGGGAGCGCAGCCCAGAGAGGACTCGCCTCTCCCACAGGCGGCGTGGAAACGATCCCCGGAATCACGCAAGGCAAACGCGCTTCTCTTTCCCTCTTTTGTCACAGGCACCTGGCTGTACAGGAACTGACAGCGACAAGCTCCTGGTGCAGTCGGTCTGCATACAGATCCGAGGGCAAATTCTGCAAACGCTAGGTGCGCCCCTCACGCCCCCCCCCCGAAAGGCCCCAGGGCGCCGTGGCATCAACAAAACAAAACGCGTTTCTGGGAGCAAAAGAAACCCGCGTGTGTGTTGACCGGGAAGGCCACACTCAGCATTGCTCTCACCCCAAACCCCACACCTTCCCCTTGCGTTCGGGGAGGTTCACAGGGCCCCAATCATAGTTAAAATGCAAACTAAAGTGTTTGAAAATTTAATAGGGTGGGAATTACAACCCACGGAGGTAATGATTTCTGTACTGAGGTGGATTATATATGAAATACACACTAATTCTCACGGCTCCCCGCGAAGGGGAGGACTGCCGTGTGAACCTGCGGAGGCCCACTGGCAGATCCAGCCCCGAGCTTCCTAACAGGACCTGGTGAATCTTCGCCCCGTGTTGGTTTCCAACGCTGTTCTCCGTCAGGAGAGCACGGGCGCTAGCGGCCGCCGTCTCCCCTTTTGTTCAGGGATGTGGTGCGAGGCAGCAGAGCTCACGTGGGCCTCCATCGCCGGATACTGGACCCTTCCTCAGCCAGATAAAAAGGTCGGTCCCCCTTCCTAGACTTGTCTTGATGGTTATCTCCCATGGCACAGTTCAGTGTATCGCTTACTAATCTTATTGGTCCCATTTTTATTGATCCTTCATGGACATAGGACCAGGGACATTTGGTGACGTCCCCCGTGACTGCTCTGTCCTGGATGGTAGTCAGACGGCTGGCACGTGCTTAGTGTTTCTGTATTGACTTGTAACTATCGATCATCTGCTTATTTGTACTGAGCCACCTTCTTTTTGTTATGCATTTAGCCTTTGTGTGGCTCCATGGAAAGTTGAAGCAGCCGAGCTGCTTTAGTCTGAAGTCGCCATCCTCGCGCTGAGCGAGTGAAGCCTCCAGTCACATGCTCACATAGCACCTTTACTCCAGAAACCGAGACACAGCGTTTGCTTTCCTACCCGGCACTTTTGTCCTCTGACACTGTGGGGACACAAGTTACTGTATGTCCCAAGAGGTACTGGCAGCCCAGCCTCACACGACACAGACAGACAGGGACCCCGTGAGGGCCAGTCCCGGGCCGAGCAGTGTGGACAAGTCAGCGGCCACTGGGAAGTGGCTGTCGCAACCGGGCTGTGTCCCTAGGGCGCAGTGATCTTTCCAGCCCTGTGGCACCTGATTTAAAGTGCTCCTAGTGTCATAATAGCAATGGTGGTCGTGAGCAGCGGGCCACAGGGCGGGCTGGCCATGGATGAGAGCCGTGAGTGACCGTGAATTGCCTGTGTTCCCTTGCAGGGTATCTCCACGTCGCTGGGGATCCTGGCAGACATATTTGTTTCCATGAGCGAGAAAGAGTACGAAAAGTTTAAAAGCAACTCACAGATGAACTTGGTAACTATCAGCTGCCAAGCCAGGTGCAGACTGGCAGCCCCAACGGACCCAGCCTCGTTTTCTCTGCAGGAGTCTGGGGGCACTGCGTGCCCCCCTCTAGCGTTGTCAGCATCCTGGGGACAGTTCCTATGTGTCCTATTTGCTTTATTATTCCAGCACCCAGTGCAGTACGGGACATACTGAGGGTACTCAAAAAGTGACGGGTGAAGGAACAAATGACATCATCAGAGTGATGACTGCTTTGAAGCCCAGTTATTTCCTTTCAAATCACCACAAAATTCAATTTCCTCACTTGGGGCGTTTCAATGACTAAGTAAAAGGGTAACAGTTTCAAACCCTAATTATCATCCTTGCTGATGACAATGCCTGTCCCTTGTCCAGCCTCCTACCCTTAATAATAACGGTAACTAACACTGACAGACTGCTTTACTGCTCACAGAGCATGCCTGTCCGTGTTACGGTCACACAAAACCCTACGAGGCAGGTAGAGTGAAATGTGAGAAAAATAAGCTGAGGTCCAGAGAAACGAGGTGACCCCTGCAGCGTGCACGGGCAGTGAGGGGGGGGGGCCTGGGGCAGGAGCAGGTCCCTGGCCAGCCTGGCGCCCGGCTCCCCTCCACCGAAATCCAGATTCTAATATTATCGTCAATATTGCCATTTTTATTCAATACCACAGTGACAATAGGACCGCACTCAGCCTAACGAGTGTAGCACAAGGATGCCCAGCTCTGACTCTCGGCGAGGCGTTGCTTTTGCTGCCAGACAAACACGGGAAGGGGTAATGTCCCTTTTGTGCGGTGACGTCGTCTCTGGCAACTGTTTAAAACTGCAGTCTCCCTTCCCTCCTCCGTGTTCCCTTCCCCACAGTGTTTCCTCCCGGGACACTGATCGCATCTCAGATACAATGTATCTCACTCTGTGTATCGACTGAGCCCCTCCTGCCAACAGAAGGCAGGGCCAGGGCAGGCTCCCTGGGCCTAGAACAGCGCCTGGCACGCGGAGGCACTCAGAATACAACTTCAGAACGAATGAATGAATGAGTCTTAATTGCTGTGAAATCATATATTAAAGGGCTCTTTGCCAAGAACAATTCAGAAAGCATCAGTTAATCTGGCTGCAAACTGTGTGCAGTTCCTGTGAACAAAGGAATCTGTGTGACCCCTTGGTGTGGGCAGGCGTGTCCCCGCCCGTGTGGCCCCCCGGGGTGGTGAGGGGCCTGTGCCCCTGGCTCCTTCCCGCACAGTCCTGAACTGGTCGTGAGGAGGGGCAGGGCGTCCCTCAGAGCTGAAAGCCAGGCCAAGGCCTCTCAGAGCCGGCCTCTTGCTGGCGGGAGAAGAGTGGCCGGCCGCTCACGTGGCCTCCTGCTCCCTGCAGGGCCTGCTGAACGAGTCTGAGCACCGTCTGCTGTCGGCCGCGGAGGCCTGCAAGCTGGCCGCTGCCTTCAGTCCCTACACGCCCCTCTTCGTGCTCACAGCCATGGTGAGTGCAGGGGGACACTGGACACTGGGGTAGACGGGGGGAGGGGGGACATCAGGCAGCAGGTGTCACGTCAAAGCAGCCACATCCGGTGGGAGCTGCGTGCCTTCAGCCCGGGGACACAAAGGTGTCTGCTCCCGCGATCCCAAGTCACCCAGGAGCTTTTTCAAAATCCACGCTCCTGGGTTCTCGATCTTGGAAACGCACCTTCTGGGGTTGGCTCCCAGAAATATTTAATTGGGAAGCACCACGCCCATGGCTCAGATGCAGGGGCGGGTTGGAAGCCACTGCCCTGCGTTCCCATGACTTAAATGCACGATGTGTTTACATGTCGCAGCTTTACGTGCGCAGAGAAACGCTGTTCGCTCAAACTAACAACAGCAACAAATGAAAAAGTGTCAAGGTGACAGCAGGGTGCAGTGAAGCTCATTTGCTAACCCTCCCGCCAGCCAGTCACAGGCCCCAGTGTCTCCTCCTGCTTCTCGCTAAGGACCTCGGGGTCTTAAGTGCACGTTTGATTGTGTGTTTTCCTTAGAATATTTGTGGCACATAACTGCTGTCACATAGTGTTTATTTTTCTATACTATTTCTAACGACTGTCCTCCAGGAACTCAAAACTTTTCCTGTTTCACCTCCAGTTTTCAGCGCAATGCCTAATTTTGTGTTTGGTGTTTTATGCAGAATATCCGCGGCACATGCTTGCTGTCGTATGGTAGTTCTCAGAACTGTCCTCCAGGAATGAAACGCGTGTATGTGTGTGAGGCCAAGGAGGCCTTTGAAATTGGCCTCCTCACCAAGAGACACGACGAGTCAGTGACTGGAAAACAGGAGCTTCACAGTTTCCTCAAAGCTGCGTTCGGTCTCACCACGGCACACCGAAGGCTCCACGGGGACACGGAGGCGGTCGGCGCGGCCAGGCAGCTGTGCGGTGAGGCCGTGGGGAAGCTATACGCGGTCAGCATTACGGCAGGACGGCAGGACAGAGAGACCCTCTCTCGGGAGATCATGTCTCTCGTCGCCCAGGTGAAGGGTCATTTACAGGTTTCAAGCTTTCCCAGTTTCGATGACAGGTCTTATGTCCCAGTGGGCTTCATGCACGGGCTAGAGAAGCCCGTCCTGCATGGGCAAGTGGACTTTCAAAAAGTCCTTGAAACCTACTCACAGCACCATACCTCAGTGTGTGAAGTGTTTGAAAGCAAGTGTGAACACGAGAGTAACCAGGAAGATACAAACACAGCAGTGTGTATCACAGCACTAAGAACAGAAACGAAAACCTTAGGCACCATGGGAACCGAAGACAATGCATGTTTCCAGAAAGGCCCGAGAATGGCTGAGAACAGGCAGGAGACACTCAAGGCGGCCCGAAGGGGACCCAGGGCCCTCCCTGATGCTTCTGGGGTCTCCTTGGATAGTGGGGTGGAGACGGAGACCGAGTCACCAGCCCATGGCAGTGGCACCGGGGCTGCTCTGGACAAGTCCCCGAGTGACAGCCAGACCTGCAGCTGTTGGAGCAAGTCCTCAGGGTGCAGCTCCCCCGCGAGCTGGGAGGAAGTGAGTGACGGTGCTGCTGACAGGTCTCCCGGAAACGGGCCTGGCCAGGAACAGCGTGTGGCCCCTCCGTGCCCCGCTGCCCTGTCTGAAGAGCCGGAGACCCGCAGGCACAGCAGAGCCGCACACGCACTGTCTTCTCAGCTTCAGGGCCTCTCTTTCCAGGATGGCAGTTCAGAGTCTCCCGAAAGTCAGCTGCACAAGCAGCTGCCCCCAACCGCCGTCCCTCCTCATAACACAAGAGGCTTGTCCTCGGCCCCTGGCGCAGGGCTGTTGGAAGGGGCTCTAGAAGACACGCCCCAAGTCACAAGCGTGGGACCCACAGATTCTTCTGCTCGCTCCAGACCCTCACTGGGACCTGCTTCTGGTCAGCCCAAGAACATGACCACATATGCTTTGATCCAAGAAGAGGAAACCTCTGAACTAACTGATGAGTTTCCAGAAATCAGCTGTGATGCCAAGGACAGGTGCGGGGAGAAGGGAGAAGAGCTGACAAGGGGCCCCAGCCCCACATCGGAAGGCAGCACCTCCTGGGTGGACCCAGAAGGAGACACAGTGGACCCTCCCGGGATCCCCGATGGCTCTCTGGGCCAAAGTTCCACGACGGCGTGCTGCTCTTTCACTCCTCCTTGGCCTGTTCCAAATCCTGACTCGGGACAAAGCGGCGGCTCCCTCAGGGAGCAGGACCCTGAGCCCGACGCCCCCACGGGCGAGGAGGATGGCCAGCTGCCCCAGCACACGGCTGCTCGGCACCCCGGGCCGCGTGGCTCCCACAGGCATGGCCAGGGGATGGAGACCCCCAGATGCTCCGGAAGCAGCGGCCGTCCCTGCCCTGTCCTCAGCGAGGACTGCACTACCACCGAGGAGGGGGACGGACCTGGAGACGTGCTCAGGGGCCGCGGGGGCGCCGGCTCGTCCTCCTCCTCAGCGTGCTGGTGGAAATCTCCTTCAGTTCCCAGCGGCTCTGGGGGGCGGGTGGCCCGGTCCTGTCTGGACCCCAGGGGGAGCTCTTTCGTCTCGTTGCCAGGAATGACCAGGCGGGATGACCTCGAGCCCTGCACCCTAAAGCCTGATGACTTTGAGAAACTGCTGGCAGGGGTGAGGCACGACTGGCTGTTCCGGAGACTGGAGAACACGGGTGTTTTTAAGTCCAACCGACCGCACCGGACGTACGGTGAGTGCAGGCCTTCCCTGTAGCTGCAGCATCTCCGTACGTTGGGGCCCCTGGGGAGCCGGCCATGGAGGCCACTTACAGCTCATGAAAGACACAGGCCCGCTCTGCTCTGTGGTACCCAGAGAAGTGTGCGCCTTCCTCCCTCACACGTGCGTGAGGGACCCTAGGGTCCCAAGAATAGAGGCCCCTCAGGCCACCTTGTACCCTGGGGATGCACCCTAAGGACACACGAGGCAGTGAGGAGACAGGAACCTCAGAGGACTCGGGGGGTCATCCGTCAGGGTCTGGAGGCCGTGCCCACGCTGCGGCTGCCCTTGCCGTTGGTTCTCATGGGACCAGCTGACTGCCCCTACGCCTGCCACCCAAGAGGTTCCTGGCCAGCCAGTGGATTGGTCAGGTGCCCCCTTCCGTCACAATTAGCAGCTACTTCTTAAGGACAACCCAAGGTCACTTCCTGTGGAAGTCAACTCTAATACAGCTTAGAAATGATGGCGAAGCCAGGAAAAAAACAAAAGAAGGTTCCTCCGTCAGCCCAGAGGACCACATATTAATGGCCTCCAAGGTACTGAAGAATTATCTGAGTGAAAAACACTAATGCAAAGTGCGTTTCGGAAGAAACTACGTGGTCAGCTAGGCACTGGCTGCGAAAGTATCATAGCAGCTCTGTCTTGGCATCAGATGGAACTGGGGGTTCTCTTAAGCCTCCAATGCCCCACCCCAGAGATCCCGTCTTGGTAGGGTAACAACTGCTGCTTCAAATTATCCTAATGATGTTTTGCCTGCCATCTTGAACTCAGACTGAAATACAGATCAGGTTGTTACCAAAATAAGCAAAATTTTTACTCTAGGGCTTCCCTATTTACTGTGGGATTCTGCAGGCCGAGAACCACATTTCTCAGTCTCTGCTGCTGTGTCTGAGTGCCGACGTGTGAGGACAGCCTTGCTGGGGGCAGGAAGGCTCACAGCTGACGTGACACAAAGCGAGCTATATTTCCGCCTTTCTTCTTCCTCCATCTGTGCCCGACCTGTGAGCCAGCACCTGTCACTGCGCCTGTCCTCCGCTTCTCTGACTGGGCCTCCCAACTCTGGTCACCGTGTCCCCTGGCAGGTCCCCTGGGTCCCACCCCAGGCCTGCAGGCTTATCTTACTTTAAGTATTTCCTCTCTCAGTCCCTCGTCATTCACGTCATTGTAACCCGTGTCCCAAAACGTTGCTCCCCTTCCTCGGGGCTCACGGTGCCCTTTCTCAGAGACGCTTGCTTGCCAGCACTGTTCTCCCTTCTTTAAGGTGGAGGCAGTCCTTACTTTTCCTGTAATCTTTTCCTTTTCCAGCTGAGTTTGCATTGTTGTACAGTAGCTATGTTTTCTCAAGTAATTCCTGGATTTCTGAGCTTAAACAAGTGAGAGAAAATTAGGGTGTGCTTGAATGTGGAATCGGGGCCCTGGAGTTGCCAGGAACCTCTGAGGTGAAATTACTGGATGTGTTTCTGTCTGTGTGAGCTGATGTGGGTGTAGCCTTTGTTGCCTGGAGCCCCAGATAATTGCAAGAAGGTGCAAGCAGGTAGCATTGTTCCAGGATGGTCTCTGGACTTTGCTGTTTAAAAAGTTTTCTTCTCCACTGCTTTCAGACAGAAACCCTGCCTTATCTTACTCCGTTGCAGTCACAAACAAGAGACTCTGTGAATCAGAGGCTGTTCTTCATCATGTTTGTAAAGCTTTACTTTCTTATTGCTTCACTAACTTCTCATTAGTAGCCATAGAAGAGGCTGAAATTTGAGAAATGTATAAAGAAGTTGAAGGTTTCAGATAAACTGGATTAGGACCTGTGTTACTTCAACTTTATTCATAAATTGTGACATGCTTTAGAAAATGGGATCCATTTTCATCTGATCTCTTCTTCTAGATGCTCTGTTGTTGAAATATTCTAAGAAATCCGAATTGTGGACAGCCCAGGAAACTGCTGTATATTTGGGGGACTACCTGAACGTGAAGAAGAAAGGCCAACAAAGAAATGCGATTTGGGTTCATTATCTTCACCAGCAGGAGGCTCTGGGCAGGTATTGCTTAGAAACACTGATGCCTCTGATGCACAACGGGCGGGTCTCCTTTCTGTTGGCCGGAACCCCATCCCCTGTTCTGCTCTCTGCAGTTGTCCCTGGTCAACCGTCATCAGAAAATTCCAGAAATAAACAATTCATAAGTTTTAAATTGCATGCCATTCCGAGCAGCGTGATGAACTCTCACGTGACCCCACCCCCCCGGGACGTGACTCATGTCTTTGCTCAGCGCGCCCACCCGGTCCCACTCCCGCCCATTGGTCACGTCTGGCCGTCTCGGTTATCGGGGGACGGTTGTGCTTGTTTTCTTAGTAATGCCACGTTCACATACCTTTTATTACAGTGTATTGTTATAATTCTGCGTTATTGCTTCTTATTGTTGTTAACCTCTTATTGTGCTAACTTATAAACTTTATCACAGGTGTGTACATACAGGGAAAATCACAGTCTATACAGGGTTCAGCACTGTCCCCAGTTCCAGGCATCCACTGGGGGTCTTGGAACGTGCCCCCCACAGATAAGGAGGGATGACTGTAATTATTTATGAGATTTTGAAATGGCTGAAACAATTGGCCAAAATGTATGTGTTCAGATTTCTATACCTTCTTCCTCCTCGATAGTTAATTGGTAATAGTTACCACATATTGACTGACAGTCAGTGGTTTTGCATAACCCCAAACCCATAAGGAAAACATTAGTATCCCAATCGAAAGATCAGAAAAATGGAGCTTCTGCCACATGGCAGGCCAGAGAGCATTAAACACTCTCACTAAAATGCTAAATAGAAGTCGGTGAAACTATGTTAAACTCTGAAAGCCACACTTTGAAGAGAATGAATGAGCATTCAAAAAAGGCAGGAAAGGGCCGGCCGAGTGGCGCGATGGTTAAGAACTGGCTTGGAATGCCAGAGGGCCCCGGTTCGGATCCCACATATGAGGGCCAGTGACACTGCCCTCCACAGCTAAGATGCTGAAAAACAGCTCAACCTGGAGCTGGGCTGCTGTGAGTCGCTGGCGACGGCGTAGGCTGCAGCCCCTGTGGCAGTGGGTTGCCATGGACTACCGTATGTAGCCAGCAGCCAGCGTGAGCGGCCAGCAGCCGCAGTGAGCGGCCGTCCAGAAGCCGGCGACTGATCTGCCTCACCCAGGAAGAGCACAATGATGGTGCCAACTTGGGCCAGTGAAGCGACGTCCTCCACAATTAGACTGAAGAACCAAAGGACAGCAACTTGTCTTCCCCTTCCCCCAATTCCCCAGCACTGTTCCCATCCCCCCCCCCCAAAAAAAAGGCAGGAAAGTCCTCTGAGGCCAGAGATGACGCGTATCCAGGTAGACAAGGGAATGTGAACCCTAAGACGCCCTCCACCGCAGCTGTAGGCCAGGCAGGATGAGGGAGCAGCTAGTGACAAAAGTTCCTGTGGACAGAAACAAGTTAGGGGTGTCACGTGAACGAGGGACTCAGGAATAGCTGCATTCTTGACGAAAAGTTTATCTTATAAATCCCACCCCACTGAGGCAAAAGCCTGGAAAAGATTTCTTTGGCCCTTGATGACAACTTTAAGCTAAAATCGCCCAAAAAATCAGTGACCACAGGTGGTCCTCATTGGGTTTGAGGCCTAATTTTACACCATTTGTGTATTTTTAAAGACCTGTATGTCAAGACTTTTAATTTAAAGTATGCCCTGTTCTTTACCCAAATCCAGATAATATAAAAGATAAACAAGATGAGAGAGAGATTGGGAGACCCTCAAACAGTAGAGAGAACTTATGGATGGGAAATGTTAAGTAATTTGCCCTAATCACATGTTTACGTGGTGCAGCCAGGTGTTGTGGGGTGAACTGTGTCCCGCGAAATTCACATGTTGAGCCCTTACCCCCAGGACCTCAGATGTGACCTCATTTGGAAACAGAGCGGTTGCAGATGTCAGTGGGTAGGGCGAGGTCACACGGGAGCAGGTGGCCCCAAGCCACTGTGACTGTCCTTGTGAAAGTGGAGTCTGGACACAGACACGACCCCGAGAGGGCCAGGCCAAGCCTGAAGCTGTGCCTCCGGGAGCCAGGGGGGACCTACCAAAGCCACAGAGGGGGCGTGGCCCGCTGACACCTTGACCTTGGACTTCCAGGCTCCAGAGCCGAGAGAGCATCACCTTATGGGATTTGAGACACAGTCTGTGGCGCTTCCTCACAGCAGCCCTAGGAAACTGAGACACAGCACAGAAGGGTCCCCATGGGAAATAAACCAGACAAAGAGGCGCAGAGGGTGAAAGGGCCCAACATACGTCTGATCAGAAACAGAAACAGCAAGTAGAAAAAAGTGACTGTTTGAATAAATAATTTCCCAAAATTGCCAAAATACAGCGCTCTTTAAATACAGGTGGCCCCTGCCTTGGGATGATTTGACTGATGGTTTTCGACTTCCGCCTGGTGGGGCCGCAACAGGCATTCCGTGGGGACCTGCCGGGCTCAGCTCTGATGTCCGGGGGCGTTTTGAACTCCTGACGGCTGATTGGGACATCGGCTAGAAAGGGAAAGGCGGGAAGAAACGGGGCGGGCAGGCGACCAGGTCTTCCCCGCTACAGAGGGAACCACAGAGCGCCCGGGCCGGCAGCAAACAGTCTTAAATGCAGCCAAGGAGAAGCAAGCTCACTGCCAACAACCATCTGCTGAAAAACACGACCGCAGAACAACGGTACATGATGCCAAAGGGAGGGTCTGTGCCCAGGCTGACGCTGCGACCTCAGCATGCGGCCTTCAGCGGATTGGGTGAGGCCCACCACACTGGGAGGGCCATCTGCTTAACTCATCTACTGCTTCAAATGTGAAACGCATCCACGAACATGTGCACAGAACCCCCAGAATAATGTTTGACCAAATGCCTGGGCACCCCGCGGTCCAGTCAAGGGGACACTAAATCAGCCATCCCAGTCAGCTGGCCTGAACGGTGTCCCATTGCTCAGGTGGCTCTAAGAAAATTATGTGCATCGTGAGCTAAAGCAGGATAATTCACACGGACGGTCTAGGGCACAGACAGACATTTTTGCATCTTTGGTCTCAACTTTCTCACTGTGCTGTACGTAAGGTCGCCGTCTCATTTCTCTGCGTGGCTTGTGCTCCGTCTGCAGGTATGTGGGGAAGGAATACAAGGAACCGAAGGGGCTCTGGTACCACTTCACCGACGTGCAGCGGCAGATGACCGCACAGCACTACGTCACAGAATTCAACAAGAGACTGTATGAGCAACAGATCCCCACACAGATATTCTACATCCCATCTGCGGTACTGCTGGTGAGACTGAGGGAAGTGGGGCTTTGGTGAGACGCCTATAAATACACGGTAGCTCAGATGTCTGTCGCCAACCTGCCATCCACCTTCTTTCTCCGTCGTCCTGGTAAAATTCAGCCTCCTTTATCTCCCTATCCACCTGCTTCGCCCGCTGAGACAGATTGGTAGGACCTGTGGCCCTCCGCCCTGGGTGCCTGCTGGCCCTGGCATCTGGCCCCACAGGCCAGGTTAGCACTTTTGGAGGACTTGCCTTCGTCTTGTCTCCATACTTTCAGAGACAGAGAAAGGACCCTAATGATCATATCTGATACACCTTATCCCCTCAACACGACACACGCGTCCCGTTCCACATCTGTTGGCTCCCAAGCCTGCCACCAAGCGAATACCGAGCCATAGCTTAAATGCCTTAGTGAGAAAACGTAGTCATTACATTTTTACTTTCTAATAATTCTGTTAGGAAGTTCTTAGATTTGGCCCAAATCTGTCTTCCTCTAATTTCTAACCATGAATTAAGCTCTGTCTGCTGGGACCACGGTGGCTAATCCCTTCACAAAGATATGTCTTTCCGTATATGAAGGCAGCCACCCCCACCGGCTTTTCTCTTCTCTGGATAGGAAAGCTCTGCTGCCCCAAAGACGCTTCGCTCATTCACACCTACAGGATTTTTTTCACTTTGGCCAGAGACATTACTAGACCCATAGTTTTCTCACAATAATAATAGCTATCATTAGTTTGCACTTTCCTTAGGCCAAGCACCATGCCAGACATCTGACATCAACTCGGACATTTGAAAGGACTCTACACAGTGGGTCACGCGCAGAAGGCTGGCGCTGAGGTCACACGCAGCCCCAGGACGATGTACCCACACGCTCTGGCGAGTTCGCACCACGGACAGGTCACGACAGGGCCTCTGAGCACTTTCACAGAAGAAGAATAATAACTTTAGGTTCTATTATAATGCCATACAATGATAAGCACGTCACATGCATTTTCTCATGGAATCCTTATAACGATCCTATAAGGTCGCCCTTCTCCCCGCTTTACAGATGAGGGAACCCAAACTAGAGAGTAACAGAGCTGCTGCCTGGCAAATCCGGGGTTCAAAGCAAGATCTTCCTGACCCCCAAGGCCATGCCTTCCCCTTAGGCTGCACTGCCTCCGCTTCTGTTTTTCAGATTTTGGAGGGCAAGACAGTACAGGGATGTATCAGTGTGGAACCTTACATGCTGGGAGAATTTGTAAAACTGTCAAATAACACAAAAGTGGTGAAAACAGAATACAAAGCCACAGAATATGGTTTGGCCTACGGCCATTTTTCTTACGAGTTCTCGGGTCATAGAGATGTCGTGGTCGACTTACAAGGTACGTGGGGCTGGGGCTGCTTCTGGCTGTCAGTGTTATTTATATGAGTGTGAGGTTTGTGAGGAGCTCTACCGGCCCCTCTTCACTGGGCTGTCCAGTGCAATGCCACTGTTTGGAATTAGTCGGTTTTACTTTCCGTAGCAAATGATACCTGAAAAAACTAAAGTTCCTGTCAAATAGTCAATGAAAAGATCGGCTCATAGTTGCTGGCTTAATTCTGGAGCAAACCCAACACCAGCTCTTGAATTTCACACAGGTGGGCGTGAGTGATGAAGTTCCCCTAACACCGAACGCCCCACTGTGCGGACATCCCCACTTTCTTTTCTCCAGCCCTCTGCCTTTATTTCTGGGGCCACGATCGGGGTTGCTGTGGGTCAGACAGCTTGAGCCTTGACGCTGCCTCCTTCTCCATTTCCTGCATTCGTATTTTAATCTTGTTTCAGTTCATCTGGTATATTGTGTATTAGAATGGTTAACCAACAATAAGTGAGGTTATTATCATTATTCCCAGTAATGATTCTGTGACTATCTGCCAACGTGGTCTCTGTCCCCCTCCCCCAGCGGCTACTGTCACTCGGTCACGTCATGTGTCACACTTACTTATTAATCCACCCCACTCTACAAGAGTGTCAGCTCAAGCAGTACAGAGATTTTTGACAAACTTGTCCATTTCTGTACCCCAGTGCCCAAAACAGTGTTTTGTGCAGTGTGTGCACTCAATAAACATTTGTTAAACCTACAAACAAATATACAAATTAATGAAGAACACACTAAAGAAACTTCTGAATCATGAGAGGTGTTCAGTATTGTGATTAGAGTAATTATGCTAAGTGCACTTGATTACTCTCAAATTCCTTGAAAATTAGTGGTTTGGGTAAATCATCTATGACAAATTATCCAATATTTAATTCTCCTTCTGAAAATAATAATTGGAATATGCAGCACCAAGTTCCTTAGCAGAAATTTTAAACATAAACTGTGGGATGACCAAGTTTTGAGTGTCTCTAAGCCGATGTATTTTTCCTGAAACACCTTGCTGACGTTCGTGGAGGATTTCGTTCTCAAACCATCTGTTTCTCTCCTAGGCTGGGTGACTGGTAACGGAAAGGGGCTCATCTACCTGACAGATCCCCAGATCCACTCTGTTGATCAGAAAGATGTCACCTCCAACTTTGGAAAAAGGGGAATTTTCTACTTCTTTAATAACCAGCATGTGGAATGTAATGAAATATGCCGTCGTCTTTCCCTGACAAGACCTTCAATTGAGAAACTAAACGAGCCATAGACTGGACAAGGCTGTGACAGTGTAGTGGGGGCTGTGACAGTGTAGTGGGGGGCTGTGACAGTGTAGTGCTGCTCTCCAGTGTCATGTTGTCCTTCCAGGTACATGCATGGCACAGCCTGGTCCCTGCAGGCTTAGGTGGGGTCATGGCTGGCTCAGGACAGTGATTTCTGAGAGCGCTGAGCAGGGTCACTTGCAGGCCCATGTTCGAATGCCTGGGCAAGACCCCTGCGTCTCTGCCCCTGTGCCAGCGTTACCAAGAGCACCTGTCCTGCCGTGAGGGCGACTGGGGAGGAACCCCTGACGGGTGATGGGCAAAAGGGGACAAATAAACTTCTGTGGCTCAAGCCATCAAAATTTGGGGGCTTTTGCCACAATCTATCAAGACTAACACTATTGGTGTTTCTCTTACTGATTTAGAAGTTCTTTATACATACTTAAGAATTCGGGATTTTGTGGTACAAGTTCCAGTTTTTTCTGTTTGTCTTTTGACATCTTTGTGTGAAACGTTCTTCTCTGCAGATTTGTTTTGCATAGTTAAATGCATCCATTTTTATGTTATGGCTTCTAGGTTTGCGTCTTCTGTACATGTCCCCTGCTCCGGGTTTCTGGGTTGCGAATCTCCCCTCCCACCAGGGCACTCACGTCGGGGAGAGGAGTGTGGGCAGCGACACCGTCCATGCCCGACCACAGAGACCTGCTCCTTCACACAGGTTTGGGGGCAGCTCCTCCTCAATGCGGCATAGCAGCAACCCACAGTGGGCCCTGGGAACCCCGACTTATGGCCTTTCAGACAGAAGTACAGGTGGCAAGCTGGGGGGTGCGACTGGCGTGTGGAGTGGGGACTGTGCTGTGGTTCTGACGCTGACCCCAGGTGGAGGGGTCACACCTGAGAGGAGCTTGGGACTTCCTGCTGGTGTCAGCTGTGCTGATGGGGGTGGTGGCGTCTGTGAGCACACAGAAAGGGTAACAGAATTAGCAGGCACCACACTGCACACACCCCCAGTGAAATAACGGACCTGGGCAGGAACCCCGAGAGCTGCTCACCTGGAGGACGGCGTGCGTGGGGCCCTTTCTGTCGGCCAGTGGGGCGTGTGCCTCAACAGCCCGACGCTGACAGTGGGACAGTGAGCCAGTGACAAAGCCACATCTGGGGAACGATTAGGGGTTTTTAGTGTGAACTGTTAGATAAAATTAGTGAAGTGATATCTTAAACTTTTCTAATTTCCTCCCCATTCTTTAATGTTTATTTCTCACAGCAAAATGGATAATGGGAAATTTTCAATTTTTAGAAAAACTCCATTATCGTTTTTGTAAATGGAACTAAGTAATTTTTATTTTAATCTTTTGCATGTAGGGTTGTAAAATGACAATGTTTAAAAAGCTAAGTTTCAGGAGTTGAGTCCGACTTAAGGAGACTTAATTCTTGTCCCTTCAGACATCAGAAGCGCCAGGCTTTTGTTCCGTCTCTCAGCGCTGCTGTTGCTGTGAGGACAACCCGTGCCCTCTATGGTTTGGATGCAGCTCTGTAGAAACTAGGTGTAAAGTGTAAGGAGCAAGAGAGAGCAGGAGAAACAAACAAGTCTCTCTATGTGGTGCCCAGTCCTCCAGTGACAGGGAGCTCTGCAGCTGCACAGGGAGGAAAACGCTTTCAGAGCCCCAACGCCAGTGTGAATAGCCCTTGCTCGAACGCTCCCGCTTTGTCAGGTGAACATGAGCCGGGCCATCAGACCGGCCGTCCGCACTGCACACTGTCTGTCCCCCCGGGGCACACAGCGTCCTGACTGTTGTTGAAAGAGAATAAGCAATCCATCATTGAGCCGGGGCGTCACTCTCCATAGAAAAGTGAAATCAGCTGTGACACTGCTCAGCCCTCCCGTTTTGCAGATTAAAATGATACATGGCAGCTCACGTGTCACGAGGACGATTAAGTTGGCCATCTTGTTCTGTGACCCAGACAAAAGAACTCCCCTCGAGCAGTAAGGGAGCTTTACAGAAGCCGGAAAAGTTGGACTCAATTGTCTGGTGTAAGACAGAGAATTTAACAAGAGGACAGAAAAAGACTGTTACTTCCCATCTACGCGGCCTCTGCGCAGGACGGCACAGGGACCCGCCCTGAAGGGGCCTATGTCTGTACAAGCCCCGGCCGCTGGAGGTGCCACTTCGTCACCAGAGATGGACACGCAGCTTATCGTGACCGCCTCCGCGACTGATTTGAACGTGGCGCAGTCACCAGGCCCCGGGCACTCGCTCCAGGATGGTGGGCCGGTGTCCAGCAGCTACCGCACTGGGTTCCTAGTGTGGCTATTCCATTGTGAGGCCCGCACATGAGTATTGAAGCCCTAAGTGACTTTCACACAGAAAGGAGATCACAATGGCAGGCCTTTAAGTCCCCAAGCCAAGGCAAATCATTGTCAAAAGACAGAAAATCGCACTTTTTGAATAACTGAATCTGTGACTGGGGTGTATTTGTTTTTTGTTTTGTTTTGTTTTTAAAGATTTTTATTGGGGAATTAGGGGATGGGAGCAGTGCTGGGGAATTGGGGGAAGGGGAACAGACAAGTTGCTGTCGTTCTGTTCTTCAGTCTAGTTGTGGAGGACGTGGCTTCACTGACCCAAGTTGGCACCATCATTGCGCTCCTCCCGGGCGAGGCAGGTCGGTCGCCGGCTTCTGGACGGCCGCAGGAGCTGGGTACCTCTGGTTTAGGAATTCTTCCTCTGAGGACCAGGGCCCTTCCCCTTGCTCCAACTTGAAGATCACCTGGGGTTGGTGATGCAATACCCCACGGAGACCCGGTGGCTATAGTTCTCCAGCATCACATCTCTGCAGAGGGCCCTCTGAGCCGAGCCCAGGTGCTGCCACTCCTCCCGAGTGAACTCCACAGTCACGTCTTTGAATGATATGGAACCCTGAGCTATGTTCATTTTCTGCTGCTCCTGGAATAAGGTAAACAACTGTGAAGGTTCCACCCGGGTCTGCAGCCTCTACTTCCGCACAGATCCAGCGACACGGAGACAGCGTCTTTCTTAGGCCGGAGAGAGTGGACAAGAGAGCCGTATTTGTTTTTAAAAGTGATTTTCAAAAGGAAGAACAAAAATGAGTATTATAATGTTTAATTTTATATTAAATAAGTGCATTCATTAAAATTAATGTAAGAAAAATCTCTAACTAAATATGTTTTAAAACTTAAAATAATTGTAAAGTTTCATTTGTATTCTGCCATTTAGACCTTACCGGAAATGACTCAGACTAGAGAGAGCGTCCTGTCATCTCTCTCGGCTACGATGAGCTTTCGGCAGCACCGTTACTAGAAACGTTTTCGTTGTTTGCACTGTGTGCGTCCTTTGCCAAGTCCTTTCTTGGATAGCAGACCATTTCTCTAGTCTAAGACAAATGTTTCTACTCTGTTACCTCTCAGTACATTTCCGGTCGTTGCTTGTGGAGAGCTGGCTGTCTGCTGTGCAGGAACGGGTGAGGGTCCCGGAGCCCGCACTCTGCCAGGCCCGACACCAGCTCTAGCCTTCTTTTCCGACACAAATCACCGAAAAGGAGAGGGGCTGCTTCAACGCGTTTGTCACACATTTGCCATGGTCTCTTCCCAGTGACAGGACCCACGGCAACCGGCTCTCCAGGGCCGTGAGCCCAGCGTGCTTTTAACGTGGGGCGTTCTGTCAGAGATGAGCACCTGGGCCGGACGGCACCCTCTGAGCCAGCTGCATCACAGAGGGTCTGGACGGGGATGGAGCCTCTGGCCAGCTGTACCTTCCCCAGGCGCCAGGCCGGGCCAGGCCAGGCCAGGGCACAGGCACCCATTTGAGTGGCCGGCCTCACTGCCCACCACAGAGGCGTTGGCAAGACCCCTCTGTGGGTGCAGACAGAGGCTAAGAGCAGGAGCCCAGAACCCCTGAGGCCTGCCTTCTGCACAGACTCACAGCCATAAATTGTTCTGACAAAAGCAATTTAAAATAGCAAAGTGCTAGGGCTTGCAGACAGGCGCCAACAAAAATGACCTGAGACTGGGCTGGGTGTTATAGCCCCGGAATTCAGCTCCACCTCACAACCCCCGCCAGAAAGGCCTGGCTCATGCCCCACCCCTCGTGGTCCTGTCCCCACAGCACGCCCCCTGCACTGTCGGAGCTGAGCAAGGACACACACAACAAACAAAGCGTGTTCCTAAGCGTCTTGACTCGGCATAATCATGTACTGAGCCGAATTACACTTGGCATCTCCAAGCTGCATTACCAAGTGTCAGCATTTATGACATTCAACTCTTAGTTACCAGAGGGGGACACCAGGAACAAGGACAAGGACCATGTTTAAGACCCCCCCTGAATAGGCCTGTCCAGGCTGCCAGCAGCTGATGGTCAGGACACAGACAGCTCCAAATGCCCGGCATGTCAGGACAGTGTCAGTCTTTGTCACCGATAACTTTAAAATTCAATTAAAATACAGACCAAGATGAACGAAGTGCCTGTCATTTGGTGTACGTCAACTGTGTGACTTCCTGACGGTGTTGGCCAAACGTCGTGCTCAGGATAGCTGCCTCCGGAGTGGGTCTCGACCACTAAGAGACGAACCGAAGCAAGTTAAGGCTTTATACACGTTAAAAGTCAACCTAGTCGGCAGGAAAACCTCGTTTCAGGAAGCCTCTCACAGTTTGGAACAGCTGACACGCAATTGCTGGAGGACACGGTCGGCCCTGCCAGGTTTGCACATGCGCCAGAGGGCCTTCCCTCGGGAAGACTAAGACACGTTTCTCTCTGTTGAAGAGGCTTCCCTTTTGCCCTTGCAAAGGAGCCCTAGACTTGTTTTCTCTTTCCACCCTCAAAAAAAAATGTATTAATATGTTTCTTACGAAAAGAGGTAAGATTCAGAGGCAGAAGCACCTGAGTCTAAATTCACAAGTGGAAACTTCAAGGAAACACACCCATCTTTGGTTTTTGAGAAAACTTTTTAAAAATCCAGACTGTGGATGTCTGCTTCTCAGCTGGAAAGGTCACTCTGAATGCACTGGCCACGACATTAACTAGAAACGACACTTGCCATTGCTGTCAGCATGTGGGACAGAAGAAACAAATGAAAAGACACGCCCGAAAGACGGTTCCCACTTGGGTGGCAGAAGACACAATGCACCGCGGCTGCATGGGCTCCGAGGCCCTGCTCCCAGGTGCCCCGCCATGTGCTTGGGAGCTTCGAGGGACTCGGCCACCGAGAACTCAGTGTCTGAGCTGACGCCACAACCAAGAGACCTCAGCTTCCCAGCTAAGAACACCCACAAGGCAGCCTGCTTCACATGTAGGTGCTGCATTCTCTTGATTACATATTCCTTTCCATGCACATGTTTAGCGGAATAAACCAAGGAAAAGGTTCTGATCGTGCACTGTCCCCATGTTTTCCCGACTCTGCAGCCATTTCGGGGAGGATTTGCTAAGCAGAATGGGCTGTGTTCTCGGCAGAGATGACAGAGGTACAGAGTGGGCTGGCGGCTTGCCTGGAGATTGGGGAGGCAAGTGAGTGTGCTTCAGCTGTCTCCCTGTGTCACCACCAAACTGCTTTTCATACCTCCCCTCCCCCTTCTCCCTTCCCACCACCCTAAGGCCACAAAGATTAAAATGGAAAAGCAGGCTTCTGATGCTGAGGTCACGTGCGGGGCCACGCCCGCTTTCTGGCCTTTCGGCTCCTAGGCAAGAACTTGGAAACATCAGCTTGGGATCAGGGCCTCCTTGTTGTACCTGCGGTCACACTCCTTGGGCCCTTGAGGGGCTTGGTGAACCATAGGGGCCCCCCTAGCTCTGTACACAAGAAAGACTGGCGTCAAGCCCCTCAGAGCCTTGGGGTTCTCACAGGTCAGGGGGTAGAACAAGACACACTGGGGTGGAGCTGTGAGGATCAGAGCCGACGCCGTGAAGGACCTGGCACAGTGGCTGGCACCTCTGGCGTTGGTGAACCATTTACAACCATTACCCGAGCTCTTCCCCCCACGACCGTCCTACGGAATTGTTTTCCCATCTCACGGTCACTAGCTTTGGTGGCCAAGACCACTTATCTGCATGTAAGCTCAGAATCTCCCCGGACACAGGGGACAGGCTTGGTCATAGGGAGAAGTGATTTGTGACGCAGGTGGGGGAGGGAAACGCAGACAGCCGTCACCAATAGTCACATGGCCCGTTCACGTGGCTCGTCACTGACCTGCGTTCAGACTACCTTGTCACCTGGAAATACTATTTAAACTACGTCAGTTTGTTTGTTTTTTTAAGTAAAAATAGTCTAATACCAGCAAGTTCATAGGGTGCAACCTAAATGACCCTCAAACACGGTCCTCTCGTTGTCCAGGCAGCCCCACGGCCTCCCTGCCTCTTGTCCTTTGAGACTCAGCTCCAGTGTCACCTCCTTTGACCTTCTCTTCCTACTGCTGTCCAGTCACACACACGTGTGCACACGCACATGCACACACATGCTCACTCACACGCGCAGAGGCTTCACTGCACCATCGCAGACCTTCGTGGCGGGACCGCAACGGCACAGTAATCAGCCTCCCCGCTCGACTGTGGGCGTGTGAACGCTGAGACTGTGAGCTGGGTTTGTCAGCCCCGGGGCCCTGCCCCGCACTTGGCTGGTAATAAGGCCCTGCTGAATGAAAGAATTAAATCATTAAAAATCACAAGATTAATTAAGAGTGTAGTTTCAGGACTGGCCCACTGTGGCACAACTCCTGCTGTAACACAGTGCTTAAGCCATGCCAGAGCACGTGTTCCAAAGGCTTGTGGGCTGAATGGATAAATGATGGCAGGTGAAAAATCTCTTAATTAGATGAGAGGGCTCTCTTTATTTGTAGGACCCGAATAAGAAAGGCCTTCTCAGACACTGAAAAAAGCTATGCCGACATCTTTGTTTTACAAAAGACTCATCTGAATGATAATGACTGTGGAAAATGGATTAGCTCCTGGGCGGACAGGGGTTTTTGTTTGTTTGTTATTTGTTTTTGTTTTTTTGTCTGAGGAAAGAAGTAAAAAAGCTTGAGTGCTTCATCGCTTAGGGAGATTCAGTCGCCTCTTATTTCCCATGATTTTGATTTTGGTGCTTATTTAATAAAGAAAATTAAAGTATTTGTGGTTCACAAGTTAAAATTGGTAAAAAAAAAAAAGGTAATTGTTTCTAGTATTGTATTCATGTTGATTTTTATCATTTTTTTTTGTTTCTGCAAATCAGATAACTCTGGAGAAAGTGATAAAGTGATTACCATCTGTCCTTAGCCTCCAGTGATGAGCATAATTATCTCTAGGGCCACCTTACTGCTGTGGCCAAAATGTGTTAGTGATCTAATTTTTTAAGAGGACTGATAAATGCTGCTAACCTACATCATATGTATTATTATATAATATGTTCAGATAAAGCATACACTATTTTAAACATAAGCGATAAAAAAGGTCTAATTTATTGGTCTTGGCTCAGAAACTAGGTGTTTTTAAGTGGAATAAAAAGGGTATTTTTCAAGTTTCATGAATTA